TAGCTTTTCAGTGTATTATTTTTTCCTCTCCCTGTAAATAAAGTAAAAATTCAGACCATATTTTCCTGACATTCAAGTTGTTTCCTAATTATTTCTTAGACATCTTCTAGGTACTTTGAGAGACATTAACTTTCTAGAATATAAGAGATGGTATGGATTATTCTGGTTTGATCACTGCTTGCCCCATGAGGACCAGAACAAACTACAGTGACCAGAGACAGTCACCTTCCAAAATGCCACAATCACCATTAGAGACACTTGGGCATTGAGAGGATGTGTTGCCTTCATTGTCATAGAAAGGGAGTAAAATCTTCAAAACATTGGCACCTTGGACAAAATGGGTTAAGGGACTCAGGACAGTAAAATCATTTTGCTAAAAAACTGAAATGTACTCTCTGCTTCAAGGGTATTAACTTTTTTGTTCCTCCGAGCTGTGGAGCCTATTGCTTATCAAGTGTCCCAATCTCTCTACTCCCAAAATATTTCCATTTTTTTCTTCAGCTACTCCTTTCCACCTCCCAAAATATTTCCAGATTGGCAGAGGACAGTGGCAATAGAATCTACTCACCTGGTGTGCTTGGAGTCATGGTTACTGAGTACTGTCCCCTCTGGTCATTGTTACAGTAGCACCATTTAGATGATGCTGTCCCACAACCATTTAGGGAGCTGCCATTTTGAAGTAGGCAAGGCAGAGTAGTAGGGCTTGGAACTGGCTGTCACTGAGCAAATGTGTGAGCCAACATGAGTACAGATAGGGACACTGCTGGGAACTAGCCCATCAGAGGAAGAGAAAGGGCTAAAATCACCTAACTGCTATTGCAGTGTGCAGCCAAGAGGTGGGGGCATACTCTCATTATTCAAGTCTAGTGGGGTCTTCCCCCATGTCTACTTCCAGAACATGAAGCTTCAGATTTCCTTCCCTGAGCATATGTGAATTAGACCTAATTAATGGTCCCATAAACTTCTGCATGATGTCTCGTCTGGAAATGACTTCCTCTCCCCTCTTCAAACCATTTTTAGAGCTTATTATTTATAGCTCAGGGATGAAGATGCCTTTTGCAGCATAGCAGAGAAGGGGCACTGGAGGAGGATCTCCTTCACATTACCCTTTCTTTTTACTTGACCCCCAAAACCTGTAACTTGCATTTGCACAGGGGCCCCTGGAAATTGTGTCTAAATGACCAAGCCATTGCAACCTACCAGTCTGTCTGGCCCCATCTCCCTGTAGTGCCATAGGATGGAGAGTGGGTTGTCATTTTGCAAGGCTTGCAAAGGGCTTTTGAGGGAAACTCCTCTGAGTGCTTTCCTGGCTTCATGCCATGCTCAGGGGTGAAAATTAAAAGTGAACAAGCAGAAAGATCCAAACTTGTTCATGCCCTTGAAGGCCCAGTTAAGGTCTGAAGAGCACTGTGACAGGAGATGCCCAAGCCACCCCAGGCTCTCTGTGTCCAGTGCTGAGATGCACTGTGGAGACTAGGGAGCTAGGGAGCCAAAGAACCCTTGATGGGTATTTTTTATTGTTTTAATCAGAGCCACAGCCTACAAACACAACCTCTCTGCCAACAGGATCTGTCTGCTTTGGTAGGAACCCTATCTAAAGCAAACTGCTCAAGGCTTTTGAGAGGGAGTTATGGGACACCAAACTTGTTGGGCTGACAAACTTAAAAAGATAAGACTTTCCCCTAGGTAGGGTTGCCAGATTTAGCAAATAAAATAAAAATATAGCATACGTAGTTAAATTTGAACTTCAGATAAACGACAAATAATCTGTTAGTATATTTATGTATTGGGGACATAAATATACTAGAAAATTATTTGTTGTTTATCTGAAATTCAAATTTAACTAGGTATTCTATATTTTATTTGGCAACCCTTCTCCTGGGGAACAGGAGTGGCCCCTTTTTAAAGCATGCCTTCTGTCATCCCTCCCATTTCTGTGCACATCCTAAGGAGTAGTAGGAGGTCTAGGGGATAAGACCCTCTCGCAAACTGTAGGTCACTTGTTAACGTGAGAGAAAAACAAGGCCTTTTCCTGAACTTTGTTTTTATTCTTAATGTACGATTTATTGTCACTTCATTATTCAACTCTAAAAACTCCGTATTAGTGGAAAGTTACTCCTTTTGAATGATCATTCATGATCGTGATTTGAATGATCATCGTGGGCACCTGAGACCATTCATTCCCTTGCTTTCTGTCTGCCAAATACTCCAGCTGGTTTCCCTGGTTTGTCTCTGTTTTATCCCATTACCTTTATTTAATGAGGTTAATGAGTAACCTCTATGGAAATCCAGCCAGAGATGTTCAGAACTCTGAAATCTTACCTCAGATTTTGCTTTCCTCCTATTCCACTTCCCCTTCCCTGGTCTCTTTGAACTTTACTCTCTGGCTTCGCCCTGACCCCAAGAGGTAGTAATTGGTCTCTAAGACCCTGGCTAATGTGGACTAAATTCTTCCACCTTTGATGTCATGACAGGCTCAACTTGCCTGTCAGTATAGTTTTTTTGGCCGTTTTAGCACTTTGCACAGCCGGATAACTCCTCCTCTCTGCTCTCCACCCCTCAAAAAAAAAAAAAGACTTTTTTTTTTTTTTTTCTCCCTGGAAAGTTGCACATTGGATATTTGGCCCTTGCTAGCCAACATGCAGACTTGGTTTAGTTAGGTCACAGAATGTGCACCTCATCCAGAGCTTTATTCTTTAATGATAATTAGACAAGAAGAGCTGTTTTTCTTCTGGAGCCAATGAGTACCAAAGGCTCTTCTTTCCCTTATTCCCAGCGGCACCACTTCAGTTTTTTTCTACTTTCCTAATTTTCTCTCACCTGGCCATCATCTCCAGTCTAGTAGAAAACCAGAGAAAACGACAGTAAACTGTGCCCCAGCAACAAATTCTGGATTATAGTTTACTCTGATCACACTGCACAAAGATATTTGGCCCTTGCTAGCCAACATGCAGACTTGGTTTAGTTAGGTCACAGAATGTGCACCTCATCCAGAGCTTTATTCTTTAATGATAATTAGACAAGAAGAGCTGTTTTTCTTCTGGAGCCAATGAGTACCAAAGGCTCTTCTTTCCCTTATTCCCAGCGGCACCACTTCATTTTTTTTCTACTTTCCTAATTTTCTCTCACCTGGCCATCATCTCCAGTCTAGTAGAAAACCAGAGAAAACGACAGTAAACTGTGCCCCAGCAACAAATTCTGGATTATAGTTTACTCTGATCACACTGCACAAAGACCTCTCAAGTGATTTTTCCTTCAGTTTCTATGGAACCATAAGTAACTGGAAGGTTTAGGTGCTCTGCCCTAATATAGGTTTCCAAGGCTCCTCTCTCCCAGAGGGAAACTGGACTTGGTTACCCTAAGAAATAACAGTTTCAGAATGACCTAAGACGTCCTGCTCCATCTAATTCTGTCTGGATTTACCTGAGACCAGATGATTCCTTAGGAAAATTTCATTTAGCCACTAGAAATCAGCGTGCCACAGGAGCTTTAGCATCACTGATTCCTTGAGGTTCTCCATTAGTCAAATGAAGATAAAGAATATATATACCGTGAATAATTTTCTAACCCAGAGGATCTACTTGCTCTTTTTATACTCTGCCCTTGAGCCCTCAAGTGTACTTCCTCAGATGGCTTAGAGGGAGAGGAAGATCATTTTTGGCAGATGAAGAGCCAACTTTGAGAGTTAAATGTCATTTTTCTCATGACCCTTGAGAAGTCTATAGATTGTTGGGAACTAGTTGGATATCAAAGCAAAAATTCACAGAAGGAAAGAAGATTTACCACCTCTTACAAATTACTCTCTAGAAACCAGGTTAGTGAATTGTGTCCTGTGGTGTATCAGATATGGCCCACCACCTGATTTTTATAAATAAAGTTTTGTTGGCACACAGCCACACTCATTTGTTTACATGTTGTCTGTGGCTGCTTTTGTGCTGCTGTGAGAGTTGAGTAATTGCAGCAGAGACCATATGGCCCACAAAGCCTAAAATATTTACTATCTGGCCCTTTACAGTAAAAGTATGCCAAACTCTGCTCTAGAACAATGCTTCTCAACGCTGGCTGCACATTGGACTTACTTGGAGAGCTTTTTAAAAATACTGATGCCTTTATTTATATTCACAAGTTGGCATAGAACCCAGACATCTGCATTTTTTAAATGCTCCACAGGTGATTGTGATGCACAGTGAGAGTGGTTGTCAATACTCACTGGACATGAGAAGGACAAAAGAAATGCACCATGTCCCCTCTCACTTCTTCCTCCTTGCCACATTCCCCACACAGGTGCACGTGTGAACTCCTGCGCACATGTGTAACTGCTCACACACACGCCTTCTCTATTCTGTGCCCTGCCCTGGGGGTTGGGGAGTTCCAGCTCTGGAATCCTGCCCCACCAGCAAGACCCAGCCTAGTGAGAAATAGGGAATATCTGGGAGTGCTAACGTCAGTCCATGGCCTGGAACCGAAACCTGGCTTTGCTATAATTTCTCCTTTTTGCTTCATGAGCATTGCCAACTTTCGACAGGATTTGTTGAGAGTGTTCTCCAGAGCAGCCTGGAAGTTCTTTCCTGCCCCCGCCTCCCTCACTCCCTCACCCCAAGGTGCTCCTGATCTGAAAATGAGGCCCAGCCTGCCCTCCCACTGCTCAGCTGTTAACACTCCCAGGTAGAATTTTAACATGGCACAAAGTGACCCCACAAGAAATGTGGTTTCTTGGAGCTTATGGCTTTTCTCTGAATATTTCTCGTTTTTCTCCTGTGACCTTTGCAACTTTTCCACCTCATGTTTTGCCATCTGGCTGCCTTGTAAGGCTCTTCCCATGAGAGAGGACTAGGTGGCTTGCAGGGAAAGGGAAGAAGAGAGATTAAATATCTGGGGCTTTCTGAGGGTTTAAAAAAATGTTAAATAAACTCCTGTTTTCACGCAGCACACCATTCCGGAAGGCAAAAGCCTTGTATGCCTGCAAAGCTGAACATGACTCAGAACTTTCTTTCACAGCAGGCACCATCTTCGATAACGGTGAGTTTTTCATTCCCTTGCAAAGCTATGGGGGGTAGGGGGGAAGCAAATAAATAACTGATGTTTTCAAAGTTCCTACATAGGGAAAAGCTTAATACAATGGGTAAGGCCAAAAGAGAGAGTGTGTGTGTTTGTGTGTGTGTCTTTTCCCAAAATAAGAGAGCAGCAGCAGATAACTCTTGTCCATTCTTGATAAGAGGCATTATCAAGAGTGGACAAGTGTAATGAGCTCCTCATTGAGTTGTTATGAACTTTAAATGAGATTGTGCCTGCACAGGACTCAGCCCAATACCTGGCAATGGCTTTGAGAGATAATACACATCATGTTTAAAATGGTACTCAGCACATAATAAGCATTTGGCATGGTATTATCTTAGGATCATCATCATAATCATAACATCCATCTTAGAAAAAGACCTTGACACTCTCATACTTGACAGTGACAGTTTTTCCTTTTTAGCTTATATGGCCCAGGCCTGGCTTTTGGCTGAGCAATAAGTGCTGCACCTTAAATCCCTGGGTCCTGGTTGTAACTACCATAAGAGCCTCACATTCTAAGGCAGAGCAGGGACGGGCTCCTGGGGACCATCCCTTTACTGCATCCACATCTAAAGGGGCTGCCGCTCTGTGTACCCAGTCTCTGCATTCAGCCTGGTAGAGACACAAAACCAGCATAGGTTGACAGAATAGGAAACAAGGCACAGAGCACGGGGGGTTCCCAGGTCACACTCCACCCTGGGCCTTTTGGGCTGGCAGGAATGGGGATGAACCCAGAACTTCATGCAGCCTGCTGATCCTAATTCCCCTTTGGTTCTCCCCAAAGCACTGTCCTTAAACCTTTGCTCCATTAACTTTCATTTGGGCCCTTTACAAATCAAAGCACACAGACAGCTGGCCCAGCCACCTTTCAGGCCTCGCAGACTGGCAGGTGCAGTACGTCTGCTGAAGGCTGTCCAAAGCCATGTCATTGGTGAGTGCCCCTGCAAAGCCCAGCCACAACATGACACAGCTTTCATGGCAGACAAACCAGTGTGGGATGCTTTGCTTGGGCTTCTGTGCCCTGCTCTGTCAGCAGAGGAGAGGTTTCTGCCTATAGAAGAGCAAGATTTGAAATATCCCTACATCTACAGTCTGTCCTCTAATTCCTAAATCACTGCTCCTATGGACAAGAGACTGCCGTGCTCCTATTAGCTAGTCACTCTGACAGCACAAAGGACCCCTGATCCCAGGGGCAGAATTGATTTGGACTATTAAAAGGTATGTGTACGCTTGTGTGACTCCTTGAGTACAGCCTTCTTCCATTTTTTTTTAAACAGCTTTATTGAGATATCCACACACCATATAATTTACCCATTTAAAATGTACAATTCAGTTGTTCTTAGTATATTGAGAGTTGTACAGCCATTACCACTAATTCCAGAATATTTTCATCACCGTCAAGAGACCTCATACACTTCAACTGTCATGCCCCATTTACTTCTAACCCACCTCTCCCCAGCCCAAGGCAACTTCTAGTCTGCTTTGTCTTTGTAGATTTGCCTGCTCTGGACATTTCATGTAAATGGAATTATACAGCATACGATCTTTACAACTGGCTTTTTTTCACATTGCAAAATGTTTTTAAGGTTCATCCACATCATAGCATGTATCAGAACTTCATTACTTTTTATGACTGAATAGTATTCCACTGTGTGGATACATCACATTTCATTTAAACATTCATCAGTTGATGGATATTTTGATCGTTTCCACCTTGATTTTTTTTTTTTTTTTGCCAGCTGGCTGATAATGGGTATCCAACCCCTCTCGGTATTATAACACCCACACTCTAACCAGCTGAGCTAACCAGCCAGCCCCGTTTCTACTCTTTGGCTGTTACGAGTAATGCTGCTATAGAACATTAGTGTACAAGGTTTTGTGAGGACATGTTTTCAGTTTTCTTGGGGATATACCTAGGATTGGGATTGCCGGGTAATATGGTAACTCTATGTTCAACTGTTTGAGGAAATGCCAAAAGACAAGAAAAGAAAAGACACCAAAGGGGTTTTTAACTGCCCGGTCCTTTCCTTCCCCGCAGGGTGCTCTACCTAGCAGGTTCTGTGACTACACTCACCCACATCCTGGTAATCATCGTAAATCCTATTGTGATAAATGAAAGCAGGAGAGAGGTTTGGTTTCACAAGTCACAGGCCTTCCTGTGGTCTCTGTGGGAGTCATGGTAGAGTTCACTGACACTAGTTTGTTTTTAACTAGCAATACCAATGACCTTTCAAATTCCCTGAAGAGCAAAAGGCCAAATACAGCCCAAAAGAAAACACCTCTCAGTGTTGACTGAATTGTGGTTGAAGATGGATCTGAAGAAATGTTAATCTACTTTCTATATTGGTTTGGCTGATAATGTTTTATTATGGTCCTATTTCCGTTTCCTCTACTCCCTTCACCTATATAGGAGAAATCAGGCATTACAGGAGAAAAAACTATTAACATGTTAGGCAGGGAGTCTTTTCCCTTGTTTTATCTCGTTAGTTTACTGGGGGAGATATTAGGTAAGAGATGTTTAACTTGGATGCTCTGTAGCTGTCAGAATAAATCATCACACCAATCAGAAAAAAGTTTCCTAATGACAGGTTTAAACTGCTTGTGTGCATGTGTGCATGCATGTGTGCATGTGCGTGCACGTGTTTCAGGGATAGGAAGAATGAATGAGGAGGAGGAAGAGGGAGGGGCCTGTGGAAAGGAAAGTCTGTTGTTTCATAATGGTTACTCTCTAAGCCTTTGGATTCCAGGGGCCGGTGCTGGAGTAGCTGTTCAGTCAGCTCTTGGACTTTGCATGGTGGGGAATGGATGTGCAATACTTGGAAATAACCCCAATGTCAGCCTCGCCAATCTACTAGGAAACTGTCCACTGCACTAAGAGCACCTCAGACCTTAGACAGTAACTAGAAAGAGAAATAACTCATGTTCCAGGAACATTATTCATCTGGAAGCAATGTGATTAGTGATACCTGGAAAATTCACATAGCAGTCATTAAAATTGGGTTCTTGGGATAGTTTAATCAAGATTTGAGATGAGCTGGATCCATTCATTCCGTGGTACAGGGTGCAGTGCCTGCTCCAGGCAGAGCTGTCCCAGGTTTCCTTTGTTGATGGAGAACATCTTCACCAGGGAGCCACCAAGCTGCCCAGGAAGTGGGTTACAGGAGAACTCTTGGGGGCAGTTTTTCACCTTCCCCCACCATGTCCATTGCCACACCCAAGCCCAGGCCACCTCCGTCTCTCACCTGGGTGTCTCCACCAGCCGCCTAACAGGTCTTATTACTTCCAGTTTTGCCCCTTTAACCCATTCTCTACACAGCAGCCAGAGCGATCTTCGAGAAATGGAAAGTCATGTTATTCCCTTGTTTAAAACACTCTTGTGGCCTCCTGTTGCTCTGAGAATTATTTTCGAGGCCCTCCATGGCCCAGCCCCTGCCTCTCTGACCTCCTCTCACCCTCACTTGATACACTGCAGCCTCACAGGCCTACTATACATTCTCAGAAAAAGTCAACAAACTGACCTGCCAGTCAAATCCAGCCTGCCACCTGTTTTTGTAAATAAAGTTTTATCAGAACACAGCCACTCATGCCTTTTTGTTTACACACTGTCGATGACACTACAATGGCAAAGTTGAATAGGGAGACACTCAAGAAAAACTTGCAGACTAACTTGCAGTTAAACTAATGGCCAGCTTTTCCATATCTTGGGGCCTTTGTACTTGCGTTGCCCACTGCCTGCCTGGCCCCTTTGCATCATTTAGATTTTAGCTCCTCCCCCCCACCCACATTCCTTTTGCAGTCTCTCTCTCCCCCTCCCTCTCTCCCTCCCTCCCTCTCTCCCTCCCTCTCTCCCCCTCCCTCTCTCCCTCCCTCTCCCTCTCTCCC